TAAGTAATTTAATTCGATAAGTCGGTCATATGAGCTCACCCCCACATGACCGACTTATCGAGTTTACATATATATATAACATTTGTAGATTATTCCTCTTGCATCATTGCAATATACATACAATGATATAATAATTCTTTATTGATCCCGGGATACACATTTTTACATAATTTGGAGCTTTGATAATCCTATTTTATTATTATCATTATTGCTGTTTGTATCAAGTGTATTTACTTCAAGTGTTTTCAATCACGTAAAGTGTTTTAGATCACGCAGGTGGTTTTACTTTCGCCGAGGGCTTTTACTTTAGTCAAATCGTCAAAATGGCCCTGATGAGAAACTACCTTTAGCCAATACAGCCTGCTCTCTCTATAACAGCCACTAAGTAAAATTTCTCTATAACGAACTTCCATTTTGTCCCCGTTTCCATTTTTTATAATCAATTTCTCTCTCTATAACGACCAAAAGCAGAGAAATTACATATAGGGACAGAGGGTTCGTTATAGAGAGAATGAACTGTACTTTAATTACGTCAGTGAAAGTTTCGTCACACATCATTAATGATAACAGTGAAAGTAATGAAATTAGTGATAATAATGAAAATAATGAAATTAGTGTAAATAGTGAAGATAAAGACATAGTTAGTAGGGTGATACATCCAAAAGAAGCCATTTATTGTAACGCTTATTTATTGTTCACCAGTATTTGGTAAAGGTGATTTGGACAACTCTGTAGATATAAACAAATTAATTATGTCAAAAGTATTAGAATTGAAGAATTTTTGAAGTCTTTCATACTGTAGCAATTAAATTTTATAAAACTGTGCCAAGTGCGCCTGATAATAACAATACTTAGCAGATTAAAAAAAAATAGATGAGTGTATACAGTCAACGCTCGATATAAGGAAGAATTGGTTTTTGACAAACTTCACTATATCATTATATAGTAATAGTAATAAAGTTTATATCAAAAATCATTATATCATACGACTCACTATATCGAGAGCCGACTGTAATAATAATAAAACTGAATGTAAAATGTGATACACCAACAGCTCTATCATATCTACCTTGGTTTTATATGCTGATCACACTCCAATAATGCCTTAACCAAGGTAAGCATGAATCATTCTAAATTTTCACCAAGTTTACTTCCAGGTCTATTGGCCAACAATTGTGAATTCTTTCCGTCAAATATATCTTTTAATCTGTTGAGAGACCAACCAGAAATTTTTTATTGTGTAGGATTTTGGATAATGGTCACATCTTAATTCTTCATTGGTTAATTCACCAGCTCTGAAAAATATTTTAATTGAAGTAATCAATAAAAGAATAATGACAACCAACACCCTTAATGACGGTTAAAGCTTTCCCTTGCCACTAAAAAAATTATTATTATTAATAGACAATTAGAAAAACATATCTATTCCGATGGTGATAGCAATAATATCTCATTAATGCTTACTCAACATGGTATTTTTTATCAGGAACTAACTACAAGTGACTTAAAAAAAATTACATTTTATTTAGCATTTGTTTTGATTTCTGGTCACCTAAAATGGTAATACAGAAAAATAAACGTAAACTTTTTTCAAATAATAATCATATTTATTATTATTATATACATGTATAAAATATACCGATAAAAACTAAGAATATTACAAATTAGCAATTGATAATAATAATTTGATAAAAAATTATTATTTAAAACTCATTAACATTTGTCAAGTGCTCTATTAACGTCGACGAACTTTTTTATTTGTATTTGTGTTTGTATTTGTACGAACTTCACTTGAATTACTACGTTTGACACCATCACCGACATGTTTTCTTTCATCATCTATAATGTCAACAATGTCATGAATCATTCATCATTATTATTACCTTTTTTTTTAATAGAATTATTAAAGATACAAACCTTTTTCTTCAGATTCATCCCAATCTACTATAGATTCGTCATCATCACTTTCTCCTTCTGACTCGCTATTAACGGATTCTTCTGCTTCATCTTCATAATCGCTACTACTCTGTAATATTAATATTAAAACAGTTAATCAAATAACATTTTTAACACAATTCTATAATAATGATGATTTAACTTACTTCGAAATCCTCTTCCTCACTTTCTGTTGGCTCAAATTCACTTGCAGAGTCTGATGGTGCATCAGAATCACCGTCCTTTCAAAACAAGCAAACAAATAAAAATACATAAATATAAATATAACTATAATTTATCTTTGTCTTTAATGTCATGTCATCAATGTAAGCATATACCTTTTCATCCATATCCAAGAATGACCAGCCACCATTATTATAAAATCCTGCTGGATCTTTGTTAATATTTCTCATTATTTGTGCCCAGTTTAAATTAAGTGTCCCTTCGTAAAATAATATATCTATTGAATCTAACCATTCTTTTACACCTTCTAATTGACTCATTGGAATAGTGTTGATATGTATTGGTGGACGTGAGTAATCTTTAAAAATTAAAACCATATCGAAATTTTTTAAACCATATTGTATTCTTTCCAAATTTACTACTTCCACGTCAGCCATTGTTATAATCAAAAAAGGTAAATCCACTAAATGAACAAGACAATCAGTCGTTGGTTGCAATAATACATTGGTTTTAAATGGGACACCGGAGAAACCAATATCTCTAAAAGGAACATCAACATACACTTTTCCATCACTGGACTCTGCAATTTTATTGGCAAAACTTTTAAAATCTTTATTCAACAAAAAGCGTCTTTTATTTTCTTCTTGTTCTGCACCAATCTCATCTTCATCGCCGTATTTGGTTCTCCTTTTACGATTACCAGTTTCATCAAATTGAATGTCAGATGCTTCACGGAAAAACTGAATATCTTTAGCCTTTTTCTTTCCAAAGATAATTGGATTGTTTAAGTGTATGTGCAATATTACAATTAATTCGTTGTCACAAGGTTGAAAGAATAGATGTTTAATATTGCTAAATAGCACATCTATTTTCTGGTTTGAACGACGTGATGTATAACGGATGCCGTTTTCATGAATATCCAAGTCACCAGTTACTTTTTTGCCTTCCAATTCTGGCCTTACAAATACCTCGGATAGTCTATGAGTTGGTCTTCGCCCTTTAACTTCTACCAATTTATCTTGCACAATTAAGTCTGCCATTTCTTTTTGTTCTGCTTCTTTTTTGGCAGAATTTTTCTTGAGGTCAACTATTTTTTTATATACTTCACCCATATAATCATCTGTGCTTCTGAATGTTAATGAACGAATGTAACTGATAGTTGGATCATCAAATGGCATATCTTCTTTTTTTCCAGTAGCTTGTCCCGGTGTCAAAAAGTTTACACGTAAATATGTGTAGTCACCCTCTTCTGATTTATGGACATTTTTTATTGTGGCAATATGAAAAGGAACTGCATAACCAAATATTGGGATAATGACGGTTTCATTTCGCTGATCAACATAAATCTATAAATGGATGAACCAAAAAAAAAGTTATTTGATATTTAATATTTAATATTATTTATTAATAATAAAATCATTATTTACCTTTAGTTCATTTACTTCTTTGGGGATTGCTGTGTCACGTCTATAGCTTTCAAATGTTTTCAATACTACTTCTTTTTGATCTGTAGTTTGATCTAACCCTTCAGCATAGCGAGCTAAGCCATCAACTTGCTTTTGTCTTGCCAGCTCAGCTTGATGCTCTTTTCTCTTGGCACTATCATCTTCACCTTTGTCCCCGCTTCTAAATTTAGATTTAAGTATCGCACTATTCCTTGTGCTAGGCCTGTTTTGGTCAGCAATTTGAGGACGACTGGCTGGCTTTTTGCCTTTTTTATCATCTTTTTTATTCTCTTCTTCTTCATCATTAATAAAGAATGTGGTACTGTCACTTTTTCTATTTCCATCTGTCATGTAATGGCATGTACCATTTGAAATTTTGATTGTATCAATAATCCACAATGAATAATTTTTCGTTTGATCATCTTTTGCTTTAAGGTTTTTTATATTTTGAAGCCCGACAAATAGATTTAAAACCATTCCGTTCTTTAGGACTTTATCACTGTTTGGACTTAATAAAAATGCCGATTCATGAAACTCTATGCCAATCCCATGACCAAGAGTTTTAACAAAATTTTCTAAAAGTTCGGGTCGTTTGGTCTTTATGTGATTTTGTGCTTTATTGTACACATCACGAAATCTAACTCCATCTCTACACCATTCCATAATAAGACTTTGTAATTCTAATAAAAATTTATAATTTGTTTCTTGTTTCTAAAATTAAAAAAAATCAAAAATCAAATTAAATATACACGAATCAGCATGTATCTTATTTATAAAAATTATACTAACCTTTACAGGATCAAATAATATTGTTCTGCCAATGTTTGAACAATACCCTTTATAACGAACACCTAATGAGCATAAAACAATATCACCATGTAATTCTCTTTTATCAGGTGGAGATGAAATTTTAAAATCATATAAACCACCACTTTGAACATTTGGAGAGTAACACACATTTCAAATTTTTATAATTATACAAATAATTCTTAGAGCTGCTGTCAATTTCAGGTTACTACTATATCCCACACCGGCAGCATTCAGCATGAGTCATTTAAATATTAAATTTAATTGATCATAATCTCGGTCTTATACCAGCTACCAGTAAAAAATGAAAATCAAAAGCCATCAACCAAAGAAAGAAATATATAAGAATATATTACATTCTCTTCCGTTGACGATACTGCTCCGATGTTCACTGATTTTATAAGAGATACTTTGTTTTAAAAAATAGAAGGGACTCACATTACAACAAATTTTATTCTTGATAAATAAAGATCATCAATATTCAATAAAATCTGGCACAACTATACAATGATAAATTAATTAGTTTTCAACAATCAGGGTTTCCAGATTATCTCACAACAATCATATTATATTATCATTTTATAACTTTATTAACTTTTCACAGCTGTCTTTTACTCTTTTTTTATCTTTTGATATTTTACAAAAAATTACAAAATCGAATAAATCAGCATCTAGTTGAAAAATAGTCGTTACTTTATTTTTTTTCACGTCATAAACTGCCGCAATTGATTATTGTGATTGTTACTTCTACTTCATTAGAAATCAAATAAATAAGTAAGGTTTTCGCTTAGTAAAAGAAGTAAAGGCTTAAATTTTTGTTCAAGTTTTTGTTAAACGTTTCTACAAGTGTTCTAATGTAAACGTAGGGTGTTAAACTATTCAACAAATATAAAATGTTAACAATTATTATCGATTAATCAAATAAAGTACCGACATAAAATTGTTATCACATCTTGTGTTAAAATAATTGTTGTAAACGTACGGCTGTTAAAAGAAAAGCAGTTTAATTAACTGAGCTTTTAAGTGATCAAAAAAAGAACTTTGGGTTGCTTTCTAAAAGGCCACATTTGATTATTTATTGTAAATTGTACGTACCATAAAGTGCGCTTACAGATCGCTAAAATACAAAAAAGAGAAAGAAAGCAAGAAATTGTTGAATAAATTCGTAAAATAAGTTAATTGACGAACATTGAATATAACAGCTTGAAATCCATTTCCTTTCTTGAATCTCAAGCCACAATCAATTATCCTAATTCAAATTGATAAAACTCTAATAAAACTTGGATAGTTGAAAATTGGAATCGACGAGTGTAGCCAAAATGTTAATTCGAATTCGTCATAAACGTAAAACAATCAGTATTGTCCGAAAAGCACCTCGCAGTACTTTGGTAGACAAGGCACTAATGTATAAATAATAAATATAAATTTCTTGATATATTGAATCTTTAATTAATTTACAAAAAATTTAAAAAATAAAAACATACTTTGAAACATGGAATGTTGATGATCTTGGTGCTGTGAGTTGTTCCTTTCGTGCACAATTAATCTTAATGATTTCAATTTAAAAAAACTCACATATTAAATATTATCCTTTTCATTGTTGATCCTTCAAAAAATCTCATTGCATTTTGAATTTGAATATGAAATTTAAATGGCATTATTGATTTCTATATTTCAAAAAAATCATATTTGTTATGAAATAATAAATATCAATACACGTAAATTACTTTAATATAATCATTATAATTTATAGTTACGAGTTTTGCAGCCAACTAACTTCTACTCTTTCAAAAGATCATGTGCAAACTTGTAATTTAAGAGTCACCACCATACTAATATTAAAAGATTATTGGAATTTAGAAAAATTTAAATATCAAATATACGATAAATGTGAAGCAAGCACTAGCGGCAATAAACTAAACAAACCTTTTCAATAAATATATATGTGTATATAAGGCTATTGTTATACATTAGGCTTAAAATTAGGATTTTATAAAGCAGGTGGTATATATTCGGGAATAAGTGTAATAATTGGTAGTGCTCCTAGTGGTATGATCATGATAAAATTTTAAAAATTTAATCGTTATATTTCAATTTATAGCATTGATGAATCATTAAAAAACCTATTAATAATTATGAATCAAAGTATTTACCATGATGGCTGAAATCGCAAGTATATTAATAATAGTATTATTATCACCCACTTTTTAAGTTCCAACAGGAAACTATACAATATCATTCAACATTGTTTGCTTTAAGATCTATTTTTAAAAGAAGATATATATATTAATCAAATTATGAACATTAACAATAATAAAAATTATTAATTCAAGAATGAATGATATTGAAAATGTGCGTATAGATGATGTATTGAATAAGTAAAAAACCATATCTATACTCATACATATATAATTTTATTATTTTTATTATTATTATTATTATTATTATTATTATTATTATTATTTGATTGTTTGATTAATGAGATTTCCATTTACTATAAAAATTTAATTCCACTTCCTCTCTAATTTTCTTTACCTCTATTTATTTATTTACCTTCTAGACACCATCATTCACCTGTATACAAATCCAACTATATGAATATTTAAAAAGCATTTGGTGTACGAAACACAAATCATCAAAAATTGAATCTTGGGAAGCTTCTATTAAGGTTGATGTCTGGATGTAATAAAGATTCGTGTGGTATCATCAGTAAAAGTAATTAAATTTATAATTTCTTCCATTTATTATCATCCTCCCGTTTCATTGATTGATTGAATAAGAAGGTACTCTCTCGTATTGGTCTTTGTGTTTTGTGACTATTATTTGGCGGGTATATGTTTTAGGTTATAAAAAACATTACTATATGAAAATAATGTATGCTTTATTGAAAAAGCTTTTTTATAAGAGGATTAATAAATAATGTCTAAAATGTCAAGAAAAAATTTGCGATCTAATATATATAGTTTGAAAAGGGTTATAAAAACAACACGATTAACATGAAAAATGAAAAAAAAATTTTGTACCCGAAGGTACTATCCACTCAAGATTGAACGTGTCATCCTTGTGCAGGGGCCATGCTAATCTTCTCTGTATCGTTCCAATTTTAATAAGTGTCGCACCCTAAGGTGGACATCTATATACTCAATCTATGATTTATATATTAATTTATTTCACAAATTTATGGATTATGGGATTTTATTTATTAATTTTATTGGTGAATAAAGTATTTTTGTATTTTTTTCAAATTACAAAAACATTTATTAAATATGTTTTAATATATTTTTGGTTGCCTCCTCAATAAAGTTCAAATTTGTTGGATTGGGAGTAATTGTATGCAATTGTAAGTTTCTGTGAAGTAAGATTTGAATCATAATAATAATAAATCACAAGTCATTTCATGAAACAAATTTTTTTGTTACAAAAACATTTATTAAATATATAATTATTATATAAATAAAATTAGTATTTGATTCTTTTGCAATTGTTCGAATTAAAATAGTTTTTCCACATCCTTTAAATAATTAAATTGAATATATTATTATTATTAAGTAAATTATTAATATAAATTTCTAATATTTCTTCTCTTTTGAATTCTAGTTATAAAAATAATTTTTTATATGGGGCATGCTGCAACAAAACCAGACAAAGTGAACATTGGTGTTACCAAAGATTTCAGGGATTAAAATTTAGTAATGTGATTATTAAAATCTTCCATTTGTCATCCTCTTAATTATTAGGTGATATCTAGGGATATGGGGGGACAACTCAATGTTGTACATATTAGTCGGACGACATTTCACAGTGACTGATTTTAATATATGATCGACATGACACGTTTTCTGTACAATGGACTTTGGCGAATGAATTGAACGTAAACTCATTATTAAACAATTTTCGTGCCTCTAAGTAAAAACAATCACTTGCC